CGGTGACACAACACATAGAAGAAGGAGAGTAATTATTGTTTGAGTGGGTCACCTTCTAAAAATGTTCAACAGTGTTATCATTGAATAAGTTAACACACCTGTTGACTAGAGCACTGTCAGGGTGCTACCTGTGAAAATCGTATATGGTAATGAGCTGAGACCTGATGTTTTCGGCACAGCGTACTTCTTTGCATTTCCGGCTGTAAGCTCCAGCAGAAAGTACAAAAAAATAATCCTAAGCATAGGTAGCGATGTGTGGTATCACATGGCTGTTTTTGCCATACATTTGATTTCCAAGGCGGAATTAAAGTTCTGAGGCAATATTTGTTCAAATTTTGAAGTGTTAAAATTCTAAGGCCATTAAATTATATCATCATCATCATCAGGTGCCTTGCCGACTGGCGTGGGCAATCATGCTTATCCATAATCCACGATCTCCTGCAGCATGTATCAGTTCGTGTGCCGACACACCTCCATGCCATGCAACAAGACTGTCAAGAATCTCCTCTCGTTGTCTTCCTCTATCCCTCCTTCTTTCCAGTGGTCACAACATGTTCTATTTTCCCTATTCTCATAACATGGCCGAGAATGATGACTGTCTCCTTCTGATGTCTGTGATAAGTTGTCTTCAGGCTCCTGCCTCTTTCAAAACCTCTTGGTTGCTCTTTTTGGCTGTCCAAGGTATTCTAAGCATTCTTCTGAAAAAAACCACATCTCTGAGGCCTCAAGAAATTGTTTGGCCTGCCTACTGATTGTCCAGGATTCACAGTCATATGTTAAAACTGGATGTATGTAGCAAGCAAGAATTATTTTCCTAACTCTCAATGACAAGGATATATTGCACAAGATATTAAATTATATACATCTTATATCCAGTGCTTCCAGCAATATTTTGTGTTAAAGAATTAACAGCCATGTTGATTTTTTATTAATTCTTCTTCTTCTACATTCAACCCTCAAATGATGATTGTATATTTGGTTGTGGTTTACAGCTGGACTGCAACATCTGTGCCTTTCTGCCCACAACATCCTATATCAGCAAACCCTTCATCAGTTTTGCCTTGTAAGAGAAAGTGAATCTCTTCTCTTCTGATGGAGCCCAGAATTCACATTTTAACATTTTCATAATACAAAATCTCATCTACCAACTGTATCAGTTCTGCTGAGATTGTCATCACTGTCATGTCCACAGGGTGGTTCACCTCTCCCATACAGGACAGCAGGAAACATCTTGGTGTAGTCAGAGGGTCTGTGGTTAACAATAAACATTTGATATGGTGAATAGGGTATCTGGGACTTGTTCCTGTTGGATTGACGCCCAAGATGTGTTTTATCAAGTTGCTGTGGGAATGTGTACGATCCTATGTCCAATGGATCTCTGATTTACTGTTTAATAAATCCATTAATGTAAAGTTGTTAACTGTACCTATTCCCTGTTGATTTACGATTTACTTTATTTTTTCAACACCCTTGATATGTGATTTGCTGCTCTTTTCTGGCTATATTGATCTTTTTGGAATGGATGCATCTCAGCTTTTGAATCTAGCTTTCATAGTGTTTCTTTTTGTGTTCTAACTTTTATTGTTGATTCATTCATTTGAAAGTCTGTCTCTGTGCAACACGCTGAAAACATTGATAATATTTGCTAGATCCACTGGTTTATTTTCTGATTCAGTTTCAGCCGGTCCATGTGTTCTTTCATTGCCCACAATTCCTGCATCTGTTAATATAGAGATGAACATGGCTATATGAATCATCGACCTCTACAGTGATTTAGCCCACTGTCTAGATGTGAAACCTGCCTGAACTTTCCAGATCATCCTCATTTACTTTTTTAAATGCAAATATGGACATACATGTCAAAATACAGTTTATAATTGGTCTATTTACTTTTTATTAATATTCTTTTACATTTTAAAATCTGTATTTATTAATTAAAACTTTACACTGCTCTCCATTTTCAAGGCAGACGCAAAATTCATTTCACTTTGTCAGATGGAACAGAATTAGCAGAAGAGTACGACCTGAAATCTGGAGAACTCATTGGTTGGTTTTTTTATCATTTTGCCCCTATGTATTTTTTAGTGTGGTGTTCTCATCATCATACACCAGTATGTTTTTATTTTCCAGTAACATTAATAAAACACCCATCTTTAAAAGCAACATAATCTGTTGCAGCTTTTGTTTCAAAGCAAATAATCATAACTTTATTATGGTTACTGTATTATGTTTTAATATTGCAATCCAGATTTCAGTGTATGTGATTTATGTCTCGCTCTCTTTCTCTTTCTCTCTCTCTCTCTCTCTTTCTCTCTCTCTCTCTCTCTCTCTCTTTTTCTCATCTTGCTGTCTCATTTCTTCCCCCTCTCCTTATTTTCTCTCTCTCTCTCTCTCTCTCTCTCTCTCTCTCTCTCTCTCTCTCTCTCTCTCTCTCTCTCTCTCTCTCTCACACACACACAGACACGAGGAACATGTTTCTTTTAAACAACTGTTTCAACATTTAGGAGAAACTATATTGCATATTACTGAGCAAGCTATGATTTATTGTGTTTATTACTTTGTCTGTGATAATTAATAGAGACTTCTGATCAAGTGTGATGGATAGATGTGCAGTTTGCTGAAGCTTGAAGTGTTATTTGCTTTTAACCAGTTTGCCGATGCATTTTTCCCATATCTAGTCCTGGGATCATGTAGTTCATTGCTTAACTACTTACTGAGTTGAATGCTTGTTGCAACACTGTAAACTGTGAATTTCCTATGAAATGCAGTTTGGCTGCAATGGTTTCTGTTGCATTAAGAAAATAGCAGGCAGTTTGTTTGTGTCCAAACTGGCTTATGCAGTATTGCTTGTGCATTGGCTCATTTGTCGTCACTGCTGCTTCTTTAAAAAAATATACTGCAGTTCTAGCAGCAGACTCTTGGTATTGGCACAAATGGCAGCTTCTTTATGCATTGTGCATGTTAGAGCCACTTGATTTTACATTTCAAATTAAATTAATTTGATAAATAAAAATACAAACCATTACACTTTTCTGGTAAAAAGCACACACATAATTAATTACATTATCTTTATAAATGAAGATACTGATGATTACTTTATCATTGCTTCTGGTTTATCTGTATTCTCTTGTATTACCCAGTGAGGAAATGGAAAAAGAAAGCTACTCTCGGAGGTTACAGAAAATGGGAGTTTGAGGTTGGAGAGCCTCCTGCTCCTATTGTAAACTTGGACTCTGAAGGGCTAGTTGAGAGTAATCTAAATGTAAGTGTGATGGAATGTATGCTTTTATGCCGTCAGTGTATAAATACTTTCTAGCATAAAAGAAATGTTTGTTTTGTGGGTAGCATAAAGCATGGTTTCCAGTTAGTTACTATCTGCGGAGCTCTCTTATTTTCAGAGTTCTGACACTGTACTTTTTAATATCTATATTGACAAATTTAATGTACTTTATAAATGTTATAATTGCAAAAAGGAGGATTGCTTTCTAACATTTGGGGTTGTGTGTGTGTGTGTATGTATATATATATATATATATATATATATATATATATATATATATATATATATATATATATATATATATATATATATATATATATATACACACAAACACTCGCATATCATATCGTGGACACCTGAATATGTTCTCCAGACCACCCACTAAATGGAAACCATTGGCTTAGATAAAAATAACACTTCTTCTGACAAATTAAATATTCTAAATGTCAGAAAGGTAAAAATTACCAGCCAGAAACTTTCTCTCTCATTTCTGCCATTCATCTCTGATTTGAGTATAGGACCTCAACCAACTCATGTAGAGTTTGTAGGCTTGTTCATAATTGTCTGCATTTTGTTGCCAAATATTTATACCAGTGCCAAATGTAGACATTAACAAGAAGAGAAAAAAGAAAAATCTCAGCAACAGAAATTAAATGTATACAGTGAATCTAAAATGTAACCAGAAAACACACACCAGGAACGGCAATATCAAAAAAGAAGTTGGGACAAAACCAGTACTAAACTCATCAGGACAACAGATCAGATGGTTTGGACATGTGTCAAACTACCACCAAACAGTGCACCACAGAGAGCCCTGTCACTTAGACATAATGAAAACAGTCCTATAGGTTTTTCGCGCAAGCGATGGATAGATAGAATATCCAAGGTTGTAAATACTAAATGTTGAATAATGCTGTAAATACTAGCATCTGCATATCATATACCAAAGCTTGCACCTACTGGCTCTTCAACACCTGATGCTAAAAGGCAGAACAAGAGTAGGGTAGAAAAAGGAGGAGAAGAAGAAGAAATGTTATGCCAGATGAGGTAGTTTGTTTTGGTTTCATGCCATCCCTCCTTTAGTTCCCTCTTACAACCTGCATGGTCAGTTACAGTGTTACTATTCCTTACTTCATTTATAGATCCTGGTGACAAACTGGTGTGTTACTATTCCTTGCTTCCCTTATAGACCCTGGTAACAAACTGGTGTGTTACTATTCTTTGCTTCCCTTATAGACTTTGGTAACAAACTGGTGTGTTACTATTCTTTCTTCCCTTATAGACCCTGGTAACAAACTGGTGTATTACTATTCTTCCTTCCCTTACTGGTGACAAACTGGTGTGTTACTATTATTTCTTTCCTTACGGACCCTAGTAACAAACTGGTGCAGTTAGAGACTTCTACTTCTGCCCTTTATCTGTCAATGGAGCATAGACTCCCAGCCAGCTCTCGCCAGATTGTCCTCCCCCCTCATCATCATCATCAAGGGCCTTGCCAACTGGCATGGGTGATTACGCCTCTCCGCAATCTGTGATCTTCAGCAGCATGTGTGCAGTTGGTGTGCTGACACCATTCTATGCATGATAAAAGGCTGTTAAGAATCCTCTTTTTCGGTCTTGTTTTCCTCTGATCTTTTCAGTAGTCACAACATGTTCCAGTTTCCTTTAACATGAGGACTGTCTCTTTCTGATGTTTATGATAAGTTGTCTTCTAGCCTTTGCCTTTTTTGAAACATCTGGGTTGCTATTTTTTTTTTTTGCCTGAGAAATTCTAAGAATTCTTCTGCAAAACCGCATGTCAGAGGCCTCAAGAAATTGTTTGGCTTGTTTTTTATTTGTCCTGGATTTTCAGTCATATGTTAAATCTGGCTGTATCCTCACGTGGGTTCTAGGGCCCTACTGAGGGAGAAAAAAAGAATTAGACTTACTGCCCCCCCCCCTCCCCCTCCCCCCCCCCCCCCCAACAAGCATGTGGTAAAAGTCAACTACTAAGGAGTGTTTCCTTTAAAGTCAAAGTGCAACTGCCTGAGAGGCAAAGAACCATCAGTCTCTACACACAAACGCCATTCTAAAAATGGATGTACATGCAAAATACAAGTTCTGCCACAAGACTTAAGTCCAGAAGTGGACGAACAATCAGAACTTTCTGCCCGAGTTTACAGCCGGTTAATGCAAAGAAAAAGAAGATTATGGCCGTGCTACCGAATTCTGTGTGCGCTGATACCTCTCACATTCTCTAGAATACCTCTCACATTCTCTAGAATACCTCTCACATTCTCTAGAATACCTCTCACATTCTCTAGAATACCTCTCACATTCTCTAGAATACCTCTCACATTCTCTAGAATACCTCTCACATTCTCTAGAATACCTCTCACATTCTCTAGAATACCTCTCACATTCTCTAGAATACCTCTCACATTCTCTAGAATACCTCTCACATTCTCTAGACTTATTTTTATTGACTCAAGAATAACAGGAGATAATAATCTGCTTGCAGCCTGTATTTCTGCGAAAAGACACAAAAACTCACTTTCAGTGGAGGGTTCGCAATCTTCCCTACCCTGTTGACAACTACAAGATAAGAATATCTGATGACAGACAGCTTATTCTCTCAACAGTTAACAAAAAGTAGGTAATAGTTTACTTTAGGTGTGTTTGTGTTTTATTTAATCAAGTGCAGAAATAAACAATTGACAAGCTGCATTATAAATATTATTAGTCTTCAGGATAAGAAAGGTACTTATCAGAGAGCTGCTGTTTGCAGATGATGCAACAATAACCACCCACTTAGAGGAGGTGTTGCAGTGTTTACTATCTGCATTTGCTGATGCATGCTGTGAATTTGGACTAACAGTCAGCAGAAAGAAGACAAAAGGTTATAATGCAAAGTATTAATGACAGACCTGCAGTCTACATTGACGGTGAAGAGCTGGAGACAGTTTACCATTTTACCTATCTAAGATTCACATTGAATAACAAACTATCACTAAATTAAGAAATCAACATCAGGATAGGTAAAGCAGCAACAACAATGAGCAGATTACTAAAAAGAGTTTGGGAGAACAGGAAGCTTACGATTAAAACAAAAACTCTATTCTATCAGGCTTGTGTTCTCAGCACTCTGCTTTATGGCAGTAAAACTTGGTCAGCTTATTCACACCAGCTGCACTCAGTAGGATGTATATAATCATTCCAGAAGACTCTTCTTCTTCAGCTGTTGTTAAAAGGATGGTTTGGCATGATGAGCTTTACAGCTACGCTGCAATATTTGTGCCTTTCAGTCCAAAATATCTGATTTCAAGAGATCCTTAATTATTCGCCATTTAAGACATACTTGTTAATGAGCAGTTGATCTATTTGTTCCAGTCTCCCCCCTCACCCCCCCCCCCCCCCCAGGGGCATAGGAACCCACACAGGGATCCCAGTGGTACTCAAGATGTTGTGTACTTATTATTCGGTACAAGTCACGAGGTCTGGCCCAAGGAGACAGTGATTGGTAGTTCATTCTTGCATCTTAACCTTTGAGACTTGTTAGTCTAAGCTAAAGGGGTGTCAGGTTTTACTGTGTCTGCACTCTGACTGGCGATCACACTTGCTCTATATTATAGAATGTGACCGGCTTTAACAACTCCAGAATATCTAGAACTGGCCCTAACCTCAAATCCCTCCCCCCACTCCTAGGCTCAGCCTACGTCCCACAAAAGACTGTAGTTTACGTGCCGTGGTTTCAGGTGTAAAAATTTTGCTGTGAGTTCGCAGAAAAGCAACGCTTCTCCTTGTTTCCTTGTTGGCTGCCAACAGTGACAACTGAAGTAAATTTACTGCCTACTTGAAGTCAGAGAACACCAGAATATACGCAATCACTTACAACAGGGAGTAAAACACAATGTTCACCTGTCCGTCTGCCAACATATACATAGCGGAAAACAACCTGACACTCCTTTAGCTTAGACCAACGTGTCTCAAAGGTTAAGACGCATGAATGAACGGCCAATCACGGTCTCCCTGGGCCCAACTTCGTGAGTTGTTCCATTATTCCAGTAGCTCACAGATTGTATGTACCTGTACTTGTGACATCCATCATCTTTTATGCCATCCAAACTATCTAAAGCCAAGGCTAAATCTGTATTCCCTCTGCCTCGGGCAGCTACGTTCATCTAATGCTGCGTCACCATGTAACCTTTGATCATCCTTGATAGATTTTAGAACTGACCAGCAAGGGACAGTGTACAAAATTCTTTCATCCGACTCAGACACAGCAGCTTTGGAAATAAATGTTTGTTCTTTTGTTTGCTTCATTTGTCAGTCCCGCTTTTTAATTCCATCTTTCACATTTGTTTCTTTAGACTTTAGACAGTTCTTACATTTAGTACTAATTTTCTTAAAACTAGAGCTAATCTGGCATTTTCCCAAACACTTTTATATTCAGCAGCCGAAACAATATATATTAACTTGGTTTAATCTCAGATTCCCACTAACAGTGTAATGGAGTTGCAATTTATTTTTCCATTTACTAATAATATGCATGTTTGTCATTTCTACTTGCATTCTGTTTCTGTTTTTTTGGGTGTTCATAGGTATTATAAGAAATTCTCAGTCCCAGATCTGGACAGATGTGCGTTACCTTTAGAAGAAGAGAGGATTGACATGACTCATGCAAACAACACACTAATTATATCTGTGAGTGCTTTTTATATAATGCATGACGTGTACTCTCTGTCGTACTTTCTTCCACAATCTGCAATTATGTTCTGTTGACCTCTTCTTCTGTCTGTTCTCAAATGTAACATAAGTCATCATCTAATTCATTGGTCTGCAACTTTTTTCAGGTAGCCCCTCCCCTCCCTCTCAAGTATATGGCAAGAACTCCCACCCCCTTCCCCCTATATGACAAGGACAACCCACCCCCCAACATAACAAAATGTTATTAAAGAGAGGAAGCCAGAAAGAAAAATCCTAAGTACTGGTAAAAAGAACTTGGAGAAAAACACATACATAATTCACAGTGTCAAATAACAACTGGTAGTTTAGTGTTGAAATATCAGCATGATGGTTGACACTGTTTTGTCTGGATAATATCTGCTATTTTATTTACCTGATGATGGACAAGGCACAAGGCTGACAGCACTGTTTTATTTTCATGACTGTTCAAGCTTAAAACCCAGATTATTATAAGTACAGATGAGCTCAGTTTCAAAGTTGTTTGAAGAAACACTCAAAACTCTCCCCCCCCCCCCCCCCCCCTTCCTAAACTTCCTCACACCCAAGACTTGAGACAACTGATCTAAGTCATGTAGAGAACTCCTGTCTTTTGCCATCTTCTGCAGCTCCCTCCTTGATCTCTTTAAATAATTGAGCTCTGCCTCTAATACTTTTCTTTACGTGTTTTAGGTCTCCAATTGCTTCTGTGAGTTCCAGATACATTCTAGTTATACTGTCATCAGATTTTCTCAGTGTGTCATCTCTTCAGTGACATCATTTTGCATTTGGTTGTTGCATGACTAAAATATTAAAGTTTTCTATAGATATTGTCATTTATAAAGTAACTTACCTATGTTGATTTTCCTATTAGAAAGCGTTTGCCTGCATCTGTTGTTCAATGTTAGATATGGTTGGTTACAACAGGTGTTGAGGATTCATTTTAAGAAATTAGTGTTGCCAACTTCTTCCATTTGGGTCAGTTAACCAAGACTAAGACCATACTCCATTTTTTCTTGAAACAGACTCAACCATCCTTGAATGACATGAATGAGAAAATTACGAAATGTATTAGGTTGTGTGTAAACAAATGGTCTTGCTGCCTTGTCATTCTCCAAATTAAAGCAAATGCAGTAATATATTACAACAGAGTAGATCAAGTATTGTAACAGTCTGGTTTAAGTTCGGTCAACCCTTCAACAAGATGGGTTTTTGTGACATTGGGCAGAAATATAGATATAAATAATGGCAGATCTTTTGGTGCTTTCCCAATATCTGCCCCCAGGATGACGTCACAGGACAGTCCAAAATTTTTAACTGTGGTAAGAGCAGGTTTCCCAGCTTTCTGATGCTTTTAACAACCTCAAAACATCTAGAACTGGGCCTTACCCCAACCCACCTACGTCCCAGGTGAAAGTGCAGCCTAGGTCCTACGACTGCATGCGGCCTATCTATCACCCCTTGAAATATTTGACTGTCTGTTTGAGGGAAGATATTGGGATAGAACCGATCTTTCTAAGCAATAGTGGTTTCTATAGGATGTGTGAGTTGCAGAACAAGAGGTACTAAGTAAAGCAAGACCATTTTTATGCTGGTGGCACAGGATCATTGGGCATATGATCCTTGGCAAGTTGGCACTCAGTGGGTGATGTGGTCAGCATTGCATTGGCCACCGTTACTTCCCAAGACATCTGGTATCTATTTTAGGCTGGATTGACTTGAAGGCCAAGATCAGTTTTGAGAATAAAATTTGATGTCTCAAACTGGATTCAAACCCAAGACCTTCAAGCTGGCAGGCGAGAGTATCTAGCCACTGTGCTGTTACGGCTCCAACAAGAGGTGGTAATCTTACATACAATATAGGAGTAATATACCATGTTCTAATAATCTATATATGTTTTCCTTTTTTTTTAGTACAAGAAACCTCAAGAAATTTTGGACATGGAAAAAACTTTTCAGCAAGAGCTGAAAAAATTGAAAGCAAGTAAAGATGGTGAAATTGACTGTACACCAAGCTGATTTCCCATACAAAAGAACAGGCCATTGCTGGCAATAGTAACAACAAATTTTAGCTGTTGGGTTGTGTTGACTAGGTCATTTTTGCTTTGCTTGTACATTATTTGAAAGAAAGCTCTTCTTACAGAAAACATTATTTTGTGTTATGCTGCTGTAATTGTATGTATGTATGTTAAGTTGTACCCCACCAGGACATTACACTAAGTGATAAACACCCAGTGACACAAAGTACCACCATGCGAATGAGGTTCACCTGTGGAGAGGTCAGAGAAACCCTGTTCAACCGTTAGGTTAAATTTATGGCCCGGCTATATTTAGGGCCTCCGGCAAAAGCCAGAGTGGGGCCTTCAAATAATGAAAAATTGCATCCCACATGGGGACAGCTATGCAGCTGTAATTGTTACTCTGCACTCTTTATGTCTTTTACTGTAAGGTAATACATTTTGGGTTTTAATTAATAAAAAAAATACTGTCAAGCAGAAATCAAAGAAACAGATAGAATGGTGTAATGTAACAACTGTCTGGAGCAGAAGTTCAGCATATGTAGAATTGGCTGGTATAACAACTTTATGGGGCAGAAGTTACAGTAACAGAAAAAGTAGAATGGACTAATGTAACAACTGTCTGAAGCAGAAGATAAAATAGTAATTATGGTAGAATGGGCTAATCAAACAACTGTCTCCAGCAGGCATTACAATAGAAATTAAAGGTAAATGGTCTGGTGTAAATTCTGAAAATTGCCTGGTACCCGTTAAAAAAAAATCTGGATTGACCACAGAGCTGGACTGGTCGGACAAAAATAATTCTGCCTCTGATGAGGATTAAATCGTGACCAGTGAGTTATTCACTTTGCTACTGCAGCTCTGTCCAGAAAGCAATGACAAACTACTGGACGTAAACTTGCCTAGGAAAACCACAACAGCCAGAAAGAGCAGGGGTTGGTTCTGCAAAATCCTGTAAAGGATACACAATTAACTAACTGCAGCTCTAAATATGTTCTATTTTGTGCAATCCTACTGATAATGTGGTTGGGATCTAACCCATCACCTTTGGCTTCTCTCAGCAATGTTTTTCTGAGGGTTTCTGTTATACATCCTTATTTCCTCAGTTCATTTGTTCCTATTCCACTGCCTGTTTAGTTACTCCCTGTTTCAGGGTTATTCAAATATGTTTACTCACTGGCTAAAAATGTTGAAAATGGGGATTGTCACGGGTCAGAGGCCCCAGCTTCAGTACAAAAAGACAATTGTCAATGGTCTGCAGGCCACTGGTTGAAAAGCCCTGCTCTATCTGCTTCTATTCGTGATGTGCCCAGGACATTGCCATCTTCTTCTTTTTATAATTTTTCTTTTAAGTTTCCCCCTTTAGGATTGTAGTCAAGGGAGTAACACCACAAGGGTGAGAATCACACAGGTACAAATCCAGGAAACCTCTTTTAGCTGTACAGCCATATAGCAGTTACGAGTATATCTGAGGCCCCACAAAACGGTGACAAAGTAATCGGTAGGCCAGTGTCGGTCTAGTATTGTTGATGGCTTGAAAATTGACCTAAGCTTTCAGGTAGACCCATTCTAAATAAAATAGTCACCAGGATGTGTTCTTGGAGATAAGAGACAATGTACTGATTAGCACTCATAGAAAGAAGAGGAAAGCTAGAAGGACTTACTAGACAACACAAAAATCGAAAGTTATAGTTACCGTAACTACGGTATAGCTTTTGATTTTTATGTAGTCCACCGTGTCCTATCTTTCTACTTCTTTTCGTGAGTGCTGATCAGTTCAGTCTGTTTGTTTATTATGTATTAGCTGTACCCAGCCACGCGTTGCTGGGCATAGTTTGGCTAAATGGAAAAGAAAGAAAATAGAAATAGCACTTGTCTAATATGGTTATTGTCGCAATCATTGTCTGCTCAGATGTAGAGATAGTCTTTGATTCCCCCACCACCACTAAATCCACCTACTACTCTCTTCCTCATTAAAAGGTTTTTGGAAAAGAAAGACAATAGAAATCGCAAGTGTCTAATATAGTTAATGTTGCAATCATTCTCTGCACAGATATAGAGATAGTCTGGTTTTCCAACTTTGGATTACGCACCATATAATTGTGTCTTTATATTAGTGGTCGTTTAAATGGTGTTATTAGCACAGTAACAAAAATGGTTATTTGGTTATCACATGCTAAAGCTGTTTGTATTTTTATAGGAAACGGAAGTAAAGCTACTACTGAACTTGTGAATAACAAAGTAAGTCTTAAAAAAATTAGAATAGCGGAGGGAGCGTTAGTATAATATAAACAAATTAACTAATGAGAACTTTAAAATCATATGTTAAGCTCTTTAAGTTAACAATTTTTGTCATTACCCCCATCCACCGACTACTGCTCTCTCCCTCTTCGAAGGATTTGAAAATTATCACCTGCCGTTATTTTTGTTGTAACTGACATTGACATCCCTGTCCATCTGGATCAAAATGGGGAGCAGGAATTGTAATATGTAGTAAATGGGGCTAGTGTAATATTTACAACATCACCCTTCAAGTACCAGTACAACTACTACCACGACCACCACCAAAATAGCTAAAATAATGTCACTGCTATCTGTTTTACCATCGGAACAGACATAGAGTCGTGAGGCAGAAGATTTGGCGCCGCATGGCTAGTGCTGTCGCCATGGACTGGTTAGGTTAGGATGTATAATTTCGCTCCCCGACAGAAGAATGCCATAACCTTACCGGCGGTCTTCGCATGAGAGCACTACGGTGTAACAGCCCAACCACAACTACTACTGTTTCTGCTACTTTGAGTGGGTAAGGCAGTTACTGTGACTTGAAGCTCTATCAGTAAAGAGTGCCCCCCCCCCCCCCCCAATTCACTGACTACTCTTTCCCTCATCGAAGTTGTTAGAAGAAAAAAAAAACTGAAAAGCAATGAAAATAGGAAAAGTAGACCATAATTAGGAAATGAACGCTATGGTAAACAGCACAGCTTAAAATTCCAACGCAGATGAAATAATTAAATCTAAATGAAAATAAATGGAAAGCTATAAAATTTCAGCGTAACCATGCAATCAGAAAGTTTAAAATGAAATCATAAGTATGCGAAATGGTCAAATTTAATTATCAACTGGTTTACCCACATACCTGTCCCTTTTTTTTTTTTTTAGTATTAAGGGCCACATGGCTAGTGCTGTCGCCACGACAGTGCAGGTGAGGATTTTATTTTGCCCCCGGGTTAACAAAAAAAAACTACTGCGGATTTGAACCCTGGTCTCCCGCACAGAAGCCCAGTGTTCTAACCATTCAACCAAGCAACCACTCTATCGGAACAGCGAAAAGAGAACAAAACTATTTGAGGTGTGTGTTCCTACTACTGTGTCCCGATTATAACACAACTCAAAACCGCAGCCAATTGTTTTTTCATAGACAGATATTCTAGATATATTATTGAAACGGCACAATAGAAATGGCACGTGTCTAACACGGTGAATGTCGCAGTCATTGTCTGCGCAGACATCGAGATAGTCCTTGATGCCCCCCCCCCCACCCCCCTTTTCCAATTTATCAGCTACTCTCCAACTCATCGAAGGTTGTTTGAAAAGATAGAAAATAGAAATCGTGTCTAATATGGTTATTGTGGCAATCATTGCCTGCACAGATATATATCTGTTTATTAGAGCAAGCGTTGGCTGTACGTATCTCGCCGGCGAATGGTGGAAGTCTTGCATTCTGACTACGGCGCTTGCGCATTTACTAACGTGGCTATAATTAAATGTCACTAAAAATGGAAATATAAGTTTCGAAGATTTTCCAAAAATTGTGGTCACCTCTCTCTAACAATGACAGGTTGAATTTCAAACCATGATGGGTAAACATCCGGTATCAAAACAAACATATCCTGAAAATTTCAGCCAAATCGGTTCAGTAGTTTCCGAGTCTATAGCTCATAAACTAACACACAAACATTGATTTTTATATATATATATATAGATATAATGTTTCGACATCCTCAAGGGTTTTCCCTCTGTTTATGTGAGTTTTGGAGACAAGTGGAATGGCATTATACTAACCACAGCACTGACTGAGTGTCAGGCGGTCAGGTTTAACTTCTGTGAGAGGAAGGATTATTTTAATTAGTAAAGGACCCTTTTCATGCCAATAGAGCATCAGGCATATGATGCTAAACTCGAATTATAGACCACTCAGCACTTGATGGGTGATGTGGTCAACCTTTATTTCCCTGGACATTGTCTGGTTACCTTCCACCTCTGGGAGCCAAGGTCATTTTTGAAGAAAGAAAAAATATGCAACTTGGGGTGCATTTGAAACCCACGATCTTTGGGCCAGAGGCAGAGAATCTAGCCGCTCTGCCAACACAGCTCGCAAGGATTTTGTCATCCAACCAGTATGGTTGCGTGCTAAGTCCAGCCTCTTAACAGTGAGACAGCAAAACGTTTTGGTTTCTTTGAATTGTCTGAGACTGAAGAGCAATGAGGAAGGTTATCATCTTCATGTTCACTGGCTTTAAACTCCAGCAGAAAATTCTGGCTGTTAGCCCACCTCTGGATTTTATTCTTGATTACAACCGGAGTGTTTCATACACATTCACTTTGCAAATGAGGCTTATTTGTATGCAGACTGTTGGTTCCTTGCCCCTCAGGCAGATGCACTCTGACTTTGAAGGATCCCTCAATTGAGTAGACTCTTATGACATGCTTGTTGGGGAGGCTGTGGGTCTATTCTTGTTTACCTGATAATGGGGCCCCAGAGAGGAAGGTTACCTACCTTCACCCTCGTGGTCTAGAACAGTGAGTCCCAATTAGCTATTATCTGCAGACCCCTCAAAGGTCTGGCATAGACTCCATATTTGTTAAAACTGAAGAACTCATTAGAATTTAAGATGAAAATAGCAGAAACGTGCATTCTAAAGGTGATCTTTTAATTTTAACGATATCATAGACTCATTAAATTTCCAAACGGAAAAAAAACTGATCTAGAGTATGTGACGA